ATGTCAAATTAGAAGCCATACTCTACACAGTAGCTTTGATGTCAGTTTTGCATAAGGCTGAGGAATCCTGCCTTCACAACGGCAAATATACAAAATATGTCCTTACCTGAAGACTGGGGACACTATAACGTAAGCATACGTACCAATCAATCCTCATATAAAATGTCTTTCTAAGGGGACACAGAGGCCAGACTAAGCCTTCTGAATTAAAGTATTGTCATATGTAATGTTTCAGGGAGCAAGTGAAATGGTCTCAGCTAATATTCTTAGCAACACTTATTCTAAATAAACAGGTTGCATATGATCCCCCTGTTGCACAGATATTCTGTCTCGGGACTATCAGAAGTTTAAACATTAAACAAAATTGAGAAAGAGCAAGAAATGCTGACTGCATACCCGGTGTTTAGAATGCTTGTCTGGGATAGGAGAGATGCATATTTCTGTTCTTGTTTTGAATTAGACAAATAGGAAAAGGCAACAGTATTTTTTTTTTTTTTACTAGACCTGTATGTCACTAATTTTATACAGAAAATCTTCCTTGCAACAAGTGATAGAGCCCACTACTCCGTCTAATCTCTTCCCAAAATTTACTTCAGCTCTGATCAAGTCTGCCAAAATTTAGAGGACTAATCAGGCTAACCTGATTAAGATAGAAGTTTCTGCAGCCAGTGACATGCAAGGGATTGATGTGACTAGCATCACATCCAACTGCCTTTTATTCCCCAGGCTGACTGACTAGATACCCATTTACACCTACATAAACCACAAGCAAAGCTTGACCTCAGACTTCGGGCACTGTAGTAAGATGCCTTAATTGCTCTGCTGTTCTGCCTCCTTGAAGTAGGATGCCTGTGGGATAAGATAGTTATCCTATGTGCTTCTTTCTTGTAATTTATATTAAAATATGTAAGCAGACTAAAAAAATCCCACCTGCATGCAGACGCTCATATTCTGACCCCTGTTCCTCTTGTCTTTGGCTGCTTCATTCTTTCCGAATGTTCGTCACACCCACTTGTTATTGCTTCTCTGAAAGCTCTTTGTAGCAACTACTACCTTTGCTCTGGTTTTGTACATCTCCTAACACAACAGAACTCCACTTCTTTTGGGGGCTTCTGGAGTCATGTCATGCAAATAATTATGTAATAAGCCATGAATAATTCTTCAATAAGAGCTCCTTAAGCTATGAACGCAGTATCTTTAAAATAAGCAATAAATGCCATTCACTAGATTATGCAGTGGAAGCCTGGACAATAAAAAAACCCACATTCAAACAGACAGTCTATAATGTTGAAGCAAAGTCTTTCTCCAGCTAATTAATTGTCAAGGTCTGCACAAAGGCAACATTCCACATAGACCAGACTGACACCAAGCTAGCTGAAAGGTGCTAAAGCAGGGGCGGGCAATTATTTCAGCTGGAGGGCCACTTAATGAGTTTTGGTGAGCTGTCGAGGGCCGCAAAGGTAGTCCCATCCCTTGACAGGTGCCCTGCCTCCTGGTCATCATCTTGGGACCGGAAGTCCCATTCCCTAACCCCTAACCTTTGCTGCCAAAAGTCCGTCCCCTCACCACAGAAGTACCTCCAAGGAGGTTTGCCATCTTGGAACAAGAAAAAAATTATATACTAAAAAATCAAACATCCATAATAACATATTTTAATTGGATTTTTAACAAATATTTTGTCCTGATTTGTGTGTCATGTATATAGTGGTGATTCCATAATAGCTCAAAATGAAGTCTTACTCATATATATTGCAGGGGGTGCGGAGGGGTGGGGTCTGTGGGTGTATGTAGATGTGTATGTATGTGGGGTATGGAGGAGGGTGTGGGGTATGTGTGTGGATGTGGGTAAGTGGGTGTGGGGATAAGTGGGTATGTGTATGGGTATGGGGTTTGTGGGGTGTGTGGAGGGGGAGGGTGACTGGGGTGGAGGATGGCTGTGTGTGTGCAGTGGGCAGTGTGTGGTGTTTGTGGGGTGTATAATTGTGTGTGGGGGAGGGTGTGGTTGTGGGGATGGTAGAGGAGTATGCATGGGAACTCCCCATGTCCACCCCTCTGTGCTGGTCAGCACCTTCCCCCACTGCACAAAAGCCTGGAACCAACACATCTTGCAGTGCCTCCCCACCACCGCCAACTGTGCGCAGCCCTAGCCCACCCTGCACCCGCTCTGGACTGACCCTGGCAGGAGTGTGCCAGCTGGAACCTGTGCCACAGCCCCAACCCCAGCTCGCCCCATGCCTGCTCCACACTGCCTGCCCATGGCACATCCTGCCACTCCATGGGTACACAGCAGAGCTGAGGTGGCTCCACGGCTGGACTGCCTTTCTAGGCAGAGCAGGTGGTGGTAGCTTCTTCCATCTGCCACTGCTGCTGGCCCCAGCCCCAGCTTCTTCCATCTGCCAACCATGCCACAGCCCCAACCTAGCCCACCCCACACATGCTCCAAACTCACCTGTTCACACTAAAAAGTGGCAGCAGCAGTGCCAGCCAGGCAGAAACTGATGTTCAGCATGGGGGGAAAGTGGCCCCTCCCCCTTGCCGCTGCCCAGCGCTTCCTGCTACAGCTGCCCAGAGCCCGCACCTGGACTGCCCTGCAGCTTCTCTCTGTCATGACCCAAAGGCATGATTTTGTGTGTGCTTCGGCACCACAATTATCCCCGCCAAGTTGCAGCTTCATGGCACGGGAGAGTTTCCTGTTGCAGAGGAAAGCCCCGGTGCAGGGACGAGTTTCCCGCCTTTCTGCAGCTTCTTTTGCAGAGTGCATTGCTCAAGTTGCAAGAGAAATGCACGGTGCAAAAGAGTTCCCGCCACCCCACATCCATCTCGTGGGGACTCTGGATACACGGCAGGGTAATACAGAACCTGTGTGAGATTCAGAGGAGCTTTGCGACCTGATCCATTGCCCACCTCTTCCCGTCTTCGAGCGCAAATTTTATAAGACGTATCTCCGATTTCGATTTTGGTGGCACGTTCACCCAGAGCATCCGGAGCTCTGTTCCGTGGAGCCTAGCAAACTCCACGTGATCGTCCGTGTTGTCTGTGTCTGTAACTGCAACTCAAGCAAGTTTTCCAGCCTACACCACTGCCATCTCGGTGTAAGTAAACAATCTTTAAAACTACCGCTAAGCGTTTGTGCCTAATTCCAGATCGTCGCCCTCCCTCTCCGATCCAGCATGCCCGGGCTGCTGGCCACAGCCCGCGTGCAGCACAGAAAAGGGCTCGGGTCACTCCCGGCCCGCACACTCTCCACTGCCACTGCTGCTCCATGGGGCAGCCCAGAAGTGGGGCTGATGGCAGCAGAGCCACAGGGCAGCCCAGGCACGGGCTCCAGACAGGTGCAGCAGGAAGCACTAGGCAGAGGTGAGGTGGAGGGGCCGCTTTTCCCCCATGCTGAGGATCAGTTTTTCCATGGCCAGTGCTGCTGCTGCTGTTTAACATGAGCAAGAGAGTCTGGAGCAGGTACAGGGCAGGCCAGGTTGGTGGGCATGGGTCCCCACTAGTACTGTAGGGTTGTGGGCAGTGGCAGATGGAAGAAGCTGCCACTGCTTGGTATGCCTAGAAAGGCAGTCCAGCTGTGGAGCTGCCCCAGCCCCATTGCTTGCCCAGGGGGCGGCAGGATGCATCACTGCTGGACAGCACTTGGGCCAAGTGGGACTGAGGCCAACCAGGGGCCAGATAAAGCCTTTCCGTGGGCCACACCTGGCCCACGGGTCATCTTTTGTCCACCCTTGTGCTAAACTGACAGCTCCAGAGACTGAAGTTTTCTGTTCAACAGATCAGGTACCACACAGGCAGCTGCAGTGCAAGCTTTGCTACATTGCCTGAAATACCTCAACATTAATTGGATGGGTCATGTTTATGTCCTTGGCTCCACTGCTGAGACTGCCCATAGCTTTCTAGTTAATACTGTGAATATTGTGAAGCAGCTCTTATTGCTGGAAACAAGGACATCAAGCAGCCTCAGGTGCATTAACAAAAGCGGTAGACCACTGGCAGCCTTGGAGAGAATCCAACCAACGCTCTAAAAACTATGATTTCAAATGCAATGTTTAAAATTACATTTTAATGGATGTTTTTTATAGTTAACATATCAGATATCATTATATGCCTGCATTGTTCCTAGTCTCACTTTTGAAATGCTTTGAAATAGACACAGGAAACTGAATGGTGTCCTCCATCTCTCTTAGCTACCTGTATACATTTTAGTGTGTATGAAAGTATTATTGTCCTCCATTATAAAGATGGAAACTGAGGCACAGAGAAGTTAAGGGACTTACACAAAATGATACAAGGAGTCTGTAGCAAGGCAGCAACTAGACCTCAGGTGTCCCATAATTTAGCCCAGAGCCCTAACCACTAGGTTATTAGACCTACAATATCTCACACCCTACCAGCTTCATATCCTCCGCCCATCAAGGCTAACAAGCTGCATTTGTAGACAGACTGTTTTCCTCACTCATACGATCTTTCATTTGATGTTCAGGAATAAGAGTTCCATTGCCTCTATGAATGAATAGTTCCCACAGTTTTCTTTATATGCCGACTCATGGGGGTTTTTAGTTTTTTTTCTTTTGTGTTCTTCATTTGTGTGTTGGGTATATAATACATGTCCTGTCAATTATATAACGTGTATATGAACACATGGAATCAAGCTCAGATGACTATTGTATTTGTTTTCTTTTTTCCCCCGACTTTGCTTGCTTGCATCCCTGGTGACTCTGAGTGAGACATAGCTGCACAAAGGTTTGAGAAATGAATATATGATATTGCTATTCCTATATTGATAGAGAGAGTCCAGGTGTTTTAAAGCATTTATGAAACTGCCCGATTTACTCTCATACAGAAACCTATTGACAATAAGTTTAAGCTTTGCATCGAGGCTGTAAAAGATTTGATTATATTAACAATGCTAAGTGTCATGAATGTCATAAATCTTAAGAGAAAGGATGCATATGTCACATATAATGCATGAAAAAGTTGTTCTTTTATCATGGATAACTTACCATTGTGTAGATACTCTGCTGATCAGCTATTCCATTATTTGAATAAGTATCTGATGTCTTGTTTTCTTTCAAGAAGGCAGGTGCAGGATGAAGCAGGAAGCCTGCCAAGAAAGATGATAAATTGCTATTCGGTGCTAGGGACAGTGGTTAACATTAATGCAGTACAGCCAGGAATTAAAGCAGCTAGTATAGTAAGAACAAGGAAGAAAATAACTTCTGATCCCAAATATAGGAGTTTGACTTCCTTTTTTTAAAAAATTAGCATCATATTTACTACATATAAAAATTCTTAAAGTTGTTTGGCTACAGACAAAATCCACTAACTGCAAAGAACAAATAACTGATATGCAATAATTCGAGCAACTACCATTCCAATATGAATGTAACATTATACACTGAAGAAAACTATATTCCAACAAAATTAGACAGGAAAAAATGGAGGGAAAAATGAAGCTCCTACTCACATTGGCAAGTAGTTATTTGCTTAAGTCATATGACTAATCTGATTAGTACTGTGATTCTCACCTGGGGTGCTGCAGCACCCTGGGGTGCCTTGAGATGCCACACAGCACTGTTAGGTGTGCAAACATGATTCACAAGATAAACCCAGAGATTTCAAATAGGATTCCATAGCTTTAAAAACATCTGGCTGTGGGCTTCCTTAGTTCTTTGCAAAAGAACTACTCTATTATTTTTTCTATAGTCAAAAAGCAAGTGAAAACTAAGAGCTGGCATTTTCCAATGGGTACCTTCAGTCTAGCGACAGGTTCTCTGAGTCTAAAAAGACTGAGAACCTTTAGATTAATAGTTCACAACCTAGCCAAAAAAAGATACAAGTTTCCCAATGTGGTATACTAGACTTTGCCATATTAAATCTGGGTTTTCTTAATCTAAAAAAGTACCCCCAGTGATTTTCAGTACAACAAAAATTGTAAGCTTTCACAGCACATCCAGCATGTTGCTCCAAGTCTTAAACTGAGCATTATAAGAACCACAAACTAATTAAAAAGAGCTTTTAAGCTGATGAGCTGATAACCTTTCAGATCCTCAAAGTTGCAGGACTCGCATTACCTTTTGAAAGATATGCAGTATGGTATCAGCTTTATAAAGGTTAATAACTCATTAAACAAATTAAAATAAAAATCAAGAAACCTTATTATCAAGACGATAATTCTAAACAAAACCTAAGGCAATATACCTGGCAAACTTAAATCAGATCAACGTCAAATCAACAATCAGCAAGTCAGTTTCAGCACTGAATTAGAATTAAATAATCAAATTAGTTAAATTACCATAGAAATATGAAAAATAATCAACCCTTATAAATTCTAAGGACTATTTGAAGAAGTTGGCCCTTTATTATTTTTTATCATTCCAAAACACAGAGAGATTTTACCTAAGCCAATCAACTCTATAACTAAGATCTGGTTAAATGTTTTAAGACAAAAGCCAAATTATAATCTAATGTCTGACCACAACAACAGAGCAAATGACAAAAAGGTCTCAGAATTTTACTTTTAGGTGGCAACCACTTTCCACCCTCCCAACAGAGCTGTAACACAGGCTTTACTAGAACACTCAAACAGCATATTCATACCTCATCGGACACCGCTATGGAGCAATGCTATGAAAATGCTCCACCCACTCACCTCTGCTCCACAAGCGCTGAATGTCAAACAATTGTCACACAGCTGCTGCTTTTTGCTGTGTAACCAGGGCATGCCTAGTGCTGAGCTCAGTCATGGACATATTCATGACAGCAGCGATGTGATTTTCTTGGGCCTGTGGTGCATGTGGAGCAGGAGTGAATGGACAAGGCATGTTTTCACAGTGGGTTCTCCAGCACCACCCAATGCAACGTAGATATGCCCTTAATAAGCAGGGATTTAATAGCTTTATTGACTAGAAATTATGGATAACAGTTTCCAACCTCTCTTGGACTATTAAAGCACACTTTATTATGGGAGGCAATGTTTAGGGCTCCTTAAACCTGGGGAACTTTTTTTGTGCCTCCCTCAAATGGATTTGAAGGATTCTCATATACAAACACAACCACATGGCACAGTCCTTAGAGCCCTCTGAATGTGCAGAGAACAGGGGACAGGTCTATTCCACCTATTAGGTGCATACATGGACACAGGCATCTACCCATAATTCTATTCTACCGCACACAAGTATCTGAAAAACAGTTATTGGAAAAAGTGGGTGTGCCCTCCTTACTGCTTTTTTGTGATTCAGTCTTAAAGTAAGGTGTCAGTGGATGCATCTACGTGAGACATTTACTACAGAGCTGCTTACTTAGTTCCACAGTAAAGTCTTGGCGTCTACACATGCAGTCCTATTAAGCCACAGTAAACTAATTAACTCTGCCATAGGTTAGGACTTGTAAATAAAAGGACTATCCTATGGTGGAGTTCTTTACTGTGCAACAAGGCATGTGTAAACACTGACAAGCCTGGCTGGGGTGCAAGGGTGCTTCAGTGTCAGGGCTGCCTGCCAGTTAGTCCCGCACTTCTCCGTAGTGAGCCTTTTTTAGGTGCATCAAAAGCTGGTATAATTTGCTGTTCTGAAAGGCAAGTCTTTCTGGTAGTTTCTTGGCCTTGCTCTTGGCTTTTATGGTTTGCAATCTTTGCTTATTCAGCCTTATATCACCTCTCCCCAGCATCTTCAGACAAATCAGGTGTGAGGCCTGCGTTACAGCCACCATTATGTAGCATTAATTCTGGGAAAAGTCCTGTTCAAATCAGCAATTCTAAAAATATTCAGTGTTTGGCATACTACGGAGACTGTAAGCCTGTGATCACCCCAAATAACCAAAATCCAGATGCATGAAACAACTGCTGAGAAGCCTAGCACAGCCTTATATACATAAGAAATGACACTATGTCATCAATTTACAGAAAGTTGGACACAATATAAGAAATCTTATAAAAAACAGTTGATTGCTAGGAGTCTTTTTCCAGCAACCACTCTCTCACAACATTCATCCATCAACAAAATTAGAAATAAATTGAACAACTTATGATCAATGCCATCATTCTTCTTCCAAAAAGGCAATTTACAGTAATCTTTCTATTCTGGAATTGGGCCATAAGTCAAACAGCTTATCTCCTGGAATCCTCTCAATAGAGAAGAGCTACTTTAAACCTATCAAGATGAAACCCATTTAAGAAAAAAAAATCAAAGTTTATATAGTGACTGTATTCCCACATATGCAATTTCTCTCACAGTCTGTCAAGAGTAATGCAAGCCTTTTAGAATTAAGACTGCAAGAGTGTATCCTTCTTAATCTTCTCTACAGTTACTTTAGACCTACTTGCTGTGCCATGGAGACAGGAAGTTTAGGGGTTAAAATTCAGCCAAGATTGAATTGTTGATTTTCTCTGTTCTTTCTGCCTCTGCCAATTCAAACCTTTAAAAATTATTTAGCATGCATAGGTAACTTCCCAACTTTATTAACAGTGTGCTATGTTTGTGGCCACGTCCCAATTTATCTTAACTATAACAAATTTTTGTTTTAGCACTGGTGACTGTCAGAATTATTTGGCTTTATCACATGCAGTGGATGGCTGGACACCAAAGCTGACAAAAGCCTCAAAATATATTTCATACCAGTGTAACACTCTAAAGCAGTTACCCTTAGGGACAGAATAAAGCTAGAAAGAAATTTAAGACAAGACATGCCTCCGTGTTAGAACTTTAAGTTACTATAATGATACAGAGCATGTATGATGGGTACTGAACATAATATGAAGAAGCTAATTTTAATGTAGATACAAATTGTAGTTAATGCCCCAGTTCTCCTTTCACTAACACTCATACAAATCCATAATATCAAAAGGATAAGTATAACTGAGGAATCTGCCCTTAAATATGGAGACATATAACTGAGAATTTTATGGGCAGATTCCTCAGTTATATGCAGTATCTACATGCAGTATTTCAACAGTTTAGGGTTATTGTAAATAATCTATTATAGATCGATGGATCAGGTGTTTCATTAATATTATGACTGTCCTTCTATCAATAAAATCATTACTGGCCTGATCCTACAAAGTCTTACTACCAAGCATGGTTGCTACATGTGGTAATAAGAAAGTGTTTGTAGAACCAGGTCTTTAATGGCTTTCTTAAAAGAAGATTAGATTAAAATAACTGATAGAAAGGCAGCCATAAGGAACACATGGTAAGGAACACACACATGGTAAGGAACACACATTTTCCATTCTACCTATAATAGGAGATAAGGGTTATAGGCATAAGCATGCCAGATAGGCATCACACTCAGTAAAAAGGCACTTGACTTGCCATATCTTTCTAACTTGCCATTTTTCATCCCTCTCTTTTAGACATCTTTAGACTAGACATACATGTCACCAAATGAAGCAAATCAGCAGTGCCAGGATATGTCCTGGCAAAGCAGTTCTGCTTCACTGGGCAAAACAATCATCACCCATTGGCCTGCCCATTGATCTTGTGGGCCAATGGGCAATGTGTACTTCGCTTCCACCCCAATAATCTCCAGGAAACCTGGAGATTGCCAGGGGTAATCTCTGCAACCAAAGAACCCCAACTTTCCCCACTTCCAGAGACATGCCCTGCAGATTCCAGGGGCAAATCTCTAGAAGTAGGGAAAACTGGGACACTCCAGTGTGGTACACAGTCCCAGGGTTGTGGCCACTAATGAGCTGATAAAAATAGTCATGGTGGCACAAAGGTGATGAAAAGCAATGTCTGTTTCTACCCTTAAACCTTCAGTTTAGGTTCCTTAGGGCCCATAGCTTGCTCTGCCTCACTACAAATGAACAGGCCCTCTACAAAAGTGACAGCACAAGCAGGGAAGTGCAAGGGGAAGACATACACCTTCTCAGCACAGCAGTCTCTGATCAACACACTGTACAGATGAGCTGCCCACCCCCAAACATGGCCCTTACCATTTGTTAATCCATAAGAGTACTATACCTCTCACTTCATTACTATTAAATAGCCTCTGGCAAGGGACTTTGCCTTAGGGCGCATCTATATGTACACTTTAATGCACATTAGCCTATTTTAATGTGCATTAAGAGGTCACTTTAAAAATAATACCATTTAGTTAATGCATATTAAAATAGGCTAATGCTCATTAACCATCACATGTACAGTGAGGCTGCTCTTAGGCACTGTAATTACAGCGTGTTGGAGCAGACTCAAATAATTGAGTCTGCTGGAACATGGTAATTACCCCTTTCCAGAAGACTCCATCATCACGTGTATCAGCATCCTTGCACTGAAAAATGCTGGCAGGGGGACTTTATCATTCGATGAGCTTTAGTTAAAGCGCCCCTGCCACCATTTTTCAGCACGGGGTCGCTGATACATAAGACAGTCTTGGAGCTGCTCTAATTAAAGTGTCCCCCATCCCCCCCTTCCCAGAGCATGTGTATAAATGCCCCATACTCTTTAGTTAATGCACATTAAGACAGGCTAATGTGCATTTTCCAAGTACCTCACAATGGAGGGCATGTATATACATGATCTAGGAGTGGAGCAGGGGAGAGCACTTTAATTAGTGTGGCTCCAAGAGCTGCTTTAATTAAAGTGCCCAGAGCATCAATGTATCTGCATCCCCATGCTAAAAAATGGCAGTGAGCTCATTCAATGAGCTTCAGTTAAAGCACCCCTGCTTTCATTTTTCAGCACAGGGATGCTGATACACATAATGCTGAAGTCTGCTGAACTGTGGTAATTACCACGCTCCAACATGCTCTCTGTGACTACTCTGCTTAAATACCATAATAGTCACAGGAATCTAAGAATTTTAATCACAATGTTATTTATTGGTGTATTATTTTGCACTTAGGTTATCCTTGATAAGCTTATTTATTTTTACTTAAATCTCCTATATAGATTTTGGTGCCAGAGTGCCAGTTTTTGGTATAATTCCTTCCCTGAAAGTGCTACATCTGCACTGCCTTATCCAGGGGTTCTCTTTACACTAGAGAAACCCACAGGGAGATTCTTAAACCAGCTTCCTAGCTATTTCACATTTCAACAGAATTGGGTGGTGGGTGTCTTGGAGAAAAATACAAATTATTGTCCAAATCATGGCATGGTTTAAACTAATAACTTGCTGTATCTAATGTTATTACATGAATACCTGAATTTAAATATTATCTTACCATTGGCATCTAGGGCAGTACATCCAATAATATTTTTTATCTTAAGTCCTGAAATGTCTTCTGTGGCATTGCCCCATTCCTCCATATTATTCTGATTACCAGTGTCTTGATCTGCCTTTTCCCAGTTCTGGTGATCCAACAAGGAAAGTCTGACTTCAGTAAGAGATTCATCTTCACTTATACATCCAATGCTCAAAGACACTGCTCTTTGGGAAGCTTCTGTTCCAACACAAGAGATATGATTCCAGTAAGTTACACTGACTGGGTCTGAAAAGAGGTATGTGATACACTGGGATAAGGTAAATTCACTTGCAAATAGCAGCCTTACTGGGAAGAAGAAAACTTTGGTTAATAGTTAATACAATCAGAAAAGAATCACTTCCATTCTAGATTCCTAAAATTGAAAGACAAGAAAATTAAATACTGAAAGCACGAATCTCCATTGCCTTTGCAGCCCATCTGTTCAATTACAACCTGTACAAAGAGTGCAACTACACGTCTCTGTACGGTGATGTTGCTACAATTCCATGATTTAGTACTTCCTTTTGGAAGTACTAAGCATGGTGCAGTAACTGACCATACAGTGCCGTGCATGCAGCACGCAGTTAGATTTTGCTGCTATGTCAGTCATAGCGTGCCATATAACACATCACTACGGTGACAAGGTTATGCGTAGATGTGTCCAAAGTGCATTAAAAAAGTCAATATTCTCTACTTAATCACTTTGCACTCACTAGTAGCATTTTATCACTTTGCACAGGCTTCTTACAAGCCTAAGTGATGAGTCAAACTATGGTAGGAAAGAATCACGTACCAAAAACAATTTTATTCAGATTCTATTTTACAGTTTGGGTACATACAGGCATTACATTTATGTCACTCTAACAAGGGTTAGGTCAATCTAAATGTCCAATCGTACACATGTGCAGAGGTCTTAAATTGCTCAAAAAATTAGATGATCAATCTAAGTTAGCTCACCTGAGAAGGTGCACTAACTTAGATTGAAACCCAATTGAAAAAAGGGTTAATCTGATCTCACAAATGCTTATACACCTTCACAGTGCAGACCTGGAGCTGGGAAAGCCCAGCCAATCATCCTAGCCTCCAGACTGTATTATTCCCACCCCCCTGACCCTGATTGGGAGATCTGATCCCAACTGAAGAGGAGGCTCCATTCTATTCTAGGCAGCAAAACCGTGACATAAGATCAAGCACCATATGCTATTGCTTATTTCTATCCCTAGATAGCATGCTATTTGAATAGACTTTGTGTGCTTATTTATTTTGTTATCCTATGAGTGACATATCCAGAAAACAAGAGAATACAGTAAACTGGAAACAGGTCATCAGAACTTTGAATTTCTACTGAATTGGAAAAACAATTTCCTCTTGAGTAGGGATTCCAAAATTTCACATTGGCTTTATCAAAATATTTCCCATCAGTGAGGTTGAAACTTTTTATTTCAGCACTATTTTTATGCTAATGTTGTACAATATTATAACAAACTAAAATATAAGGCAAAAGCCAAACAGATAAAGTCACAGTGACATATTCTGGCATTGTCAAAATGAATTATTTGGTAATTTTTCATTGAAAATGTTGAAGTCAATATGGATTTGTGGAACATTTTAGTCAAGTCAGAATTTTCTGAAAGAAGAAATCTGCTGGAAAATCTTTGACTAGCTCCAGTAATCAGTGAAATTGACCTCAGGGCAGGGGTGAATTCACTTAATCCTCACATTAAGGATTTAAGTAGGATTTAAAGTGGTGTTAGGGACTTTGCTTGCTACCTTTGTACTGGAGTCAATTTTTGCCCAACAAGAATACAACAGTATCTATGACACTCTAATGATGGAAAGCCTAGAAACACTTGAAAAAAACAGGCAGGAGAGATCAGAGGTAATTTACTTCTCAAAACACTATATAAAATCCACCAGTGAACAAGAAATATAGCCAAGCACATCTTAAATAGATAAGGGGAAAATGGTAATTTTTTGGCAAATGCATTTCCCATATAACAAGAATATTAAAAAAACACATTCAAAAGATTATACATTTCAAAGACATCAAATAAACCATTCAGAGGCTGCATTATACGAGATTACTCTCACCTAAAGAAAGTGATTAACTCAAATGAATGAATGAATGTAAAGGCTAGGGAAAAATTTACTAACTGGCTATCTTACCATAACTCTGGGATGCTGAAGGAGGACAGATTAACAGTAGTCTTAAATTTAATCATGTGTGTAGGCTCATTGCTGAACTGAAGCCATAAATAGGAATCATAAGCTATTTGTATTTTGATGGCTATAATGTATGAGATGAAAAATCATTTGTCCATCACCCTTATATTTGGTTATATAGCATTGTATTTGTTTGCAATATGCTTTGTTATATACAGTTTATAGATTCATGCTTTCATATTTTGATGCCCTTTTAAAGGATTTCACTTAAGATTATTCATTCCACAGTATAGTAACACTGTGGCAGGGCACACTTGGTGCTTGCTTGTGGCAGCACTCATGGTGCCTGCCACTTTAAGGGCTGGAGCAGGTAGGTGGCAGGTGTGGGTCAATTCTGATGAGGCAGTCATTTTAGGTCCAAGCGCACAGGTCTCTGGCAGCAGTTTGCTGCCTGCCGCTGAAGGAACACCACCTGGCCGAGCTGCTATTCATGTAACACCCTGGAGTTAAGGTCAGGAGCTACTAGGGATGGCAGGAGGCAACTGGTCCTGGGTATGACTTGAAACTGCACCCTGCTGGGGAAGGATGGCCTGGTGGGGCTTCTCATGGCAAGGAAGCTCCCCAGAAATGCCAGGCCAGTTGCCTCCCCAGTGAAAGGCAGGTAGGGACACATTAAAACTTCAGTCATCACACCCTGGTGTGTTACCCAGAGTCAGGGCCAGGCACATCTCTGGACACCTGAGCCCATGGGGTGCAAGAGCCCAGTAATGGAGTCGGGGCCAGGCACATTTTTGCAACACCTGAGCCCATGGGCTAGCAGACCCCAATAGAAAGTGAGGGCCAGGCACATCTCCATGACACCTGAGCCCCATGGGGTGCAAGACCCTGGTAGAGAAGTGAGGGCTAAGCACATCTCTGGACACCTGAGCCCAAAGCGGGTAAAGACCCCAGCTGTCCCAGTGAGGGGGGGAGGGGGGGGGCATAGTGATTGAAGTATAGAGTGGTCTGCATAGAGTAGGGTACACAAGGATGACCCGAAGCGCTGGGCATGTTTCGTGTAGAGTAGGGCCTGACTATGAGGGCCTGAAGGGCTCTACTGGATTGTGCTGAGTAGGGGATGTGCGAGTGACCTGAAGGGCAGCACATGGGCCAACCCCCATTAGAAAAAGATTTGGGTAAAGCCCAGGTAAGTCTATGGATGCCTGAGGTTGTTGTTGGGCTGCAGGCCATGTTTATAATATTGATAAGCTTGTCAGTGAGAGCACAATGACTTTCTGCTCCAGTGGGGGATGAGAGTCCCAGTGAGACTCTGGAGCACCAGTCGTGGTGTGATGCGCTACAATAATTTCATAGATTCATAGATGTTAGGGTCGGAAGGGACCTCAATAGATCATCGAGTCCGACCCCCTGCATAAGCA